CACACACACACTGTCTCTCTCTTATTGGCTGTGTTTTCTTCATCTGTCCATGTGGGGTGTCTGAGCACATCTGCTCTGTCTCTCCTCAGCAGCCGGATTCATAGTGCTGCTCACTTCCACTATCCTTCTTCCCTCCACCCCCTCCTTTGGATAAGACCCATTTACCTCAATTACTGCAAAATGAGTGGTAGAGAGTGCAGAGTTAGACTGTGAGATAGCAGAAAGCATAATGGTGAACAGATGAGGAAGACAGAGTGGGAGAAAAACAGAACACCGGAGACACGCAGAGAGGGAGAGACGGAGAATTCCCACTTCTCGTGTCTGGTTTCATAACCGCTCACTGCTTCCATTTATGGAAATGTTTCACTGCTTTATTTGTGCATCTATGTGTGTGCGTGTGTGCATTTCACTGCTTAATAATATGTGCAAATTCCACTTTGTGGAGTAGCATAAATACATGCAAATTGTTCATATGCCTCATACTCATACATGAATATGGAATCCATAAAGCCCCGCTGGAAATATGAGCACCCGAGTTTGGGAATATTCAAGCTCATTATAGTAGAGATTGGTCAGCAAATTCTCATCCAAAAATGTTTTGGGGCCTAAGAAGCTTTCAGATTCATTACTAGTTTGTGAGATACACTTTTCATAGTGTGCTATAATGGAGTTTTAAATGTCTTGTTTGTGAAAACTATGATGTTTTCATGGATGGAACTCTGAAACAATCTGGTGACTTATGAATAATGCAAACCACTCCCATAATCCTTCTAGTAAAAGACAAAAAAACAAAAGAAAATGATGGTGTACTCAGAAAGACTTTGTTCAGAAATCTGTCGGTCCTTTGAGATCATCGCAGCAGCAGTCAGAGAGAGGATGAGGATTAGAGGAGGCTACAGTAGCAGAGACACAGTGCCTGGTTGTGCCTGTGTTGTGTTTTGTTCTGTTTTTAAAGGTTTACCTGCATTTCTTGCTGCGACACAAGACTGTCTTCGCCTTTTCAGAATGAAATGCGACAAACAAGATGCACTCTTATTTGTGTCTTTTAAATGTGTCTACAATAACACTCCCAGAGTGAAAGCTCCAGCTTGTATTTGTGTGACAACATAAGTAAAACTCAAAGAAGTTCAACTTTAGTAAGGGGAGAGCGATTTGTATGAGGCTCTCCATAAATTCATCATCATTTTGCAACTCTGAGAAAACAGTTTCTGGGCCTATGGTGTCCTCATGCTCAGGGGTAAGCCAAAGCACTTCCAACATCATACTTGTAGATACACATTTGGCTCACTATCTAGCCTGCCATAAATCTGTCCTCTCTAAAATGGTTCAGTTTTTTTCTGCACAGTTTGGCAGACAATTTTTCCCCTGAGAAACCAGAATCCAGATATGGATGTTCATTTTGGCCTAACAGGACCCTTACCTACATCTGCATGCTATCAGAGGAAGCTATGAATTCCACTAAATATTTTACTGCAGTTGTGCTGCAATTCCCAAGCTGTGGATGATTCAGCAAAGCAGAGAACCAGTAGAGCATGAGCAGACAGGCAGGACTGCTTCCTGGCTGCCCTTTTTATGGTACTGACACATAGCACAACATAGCAATAAAAACATAATCAAATATTCTTGATCTTGGAAACAGCATTTGGCCCAATAAATAGCTGTTCTGGAGCTGTTCAGTATGACACAAACTCCCTCAGCTGATGAAGCTTATCCAGCTTTCATGTCATAGACGTTCATGTTTCAGTCTTTAAATTTTAAAGACTGAGCTTTAAAGTTGCTCGACTTTATGTGAAACTAAAAATCCAAAGCCTAAACAAACTTACTTTCAATGAGAGAAAGACAATCAATATGAGAAGCTGGAACCAAATAAGCTTTGCTTAACAGTGACTAAGAAACGGTTCATTATTCATTCATTATTCATATTTCTCTTAGTCACTATTTCACACCATCATTTCATCGGATCTCAAAAAAGATAAATGTATATTTTTTATTCTCACTAAGTCACTCTCCATATAATTTATATAAGAAAAATACATCGACTGCTGCATTATTGAACATTTTACAACAGGAACTGTTTCTGAGAGATGCTCATTAGCATTTGCCCTTAAACTCCTGAAAGGTGAATATAAACAGAGGGCTAACAGATCAGCAGCAGACCTTTACAATACGTGTACAGAGTTCTATGATGCATTAACTGTGTGTAAGCCATCATCAGTGATGAACCTAACACTATGCTGTCAGAACATCTGATTGTTTTGTTTTTTTTAAATAAAAATTGTTTTCCCAAGTCTTGACAATCAGTGGACAAAAAAGAAAATCAATCAATCAACCCCTGACCCTAACATAGGATTAGGATTAGGACCTAGAGGATGTGATTGGGGTTGTTGCCGTTGATGACTTGGACCTCACAGGGTTAAGTGCATTGAAGGCAGGCATCTCCATGGAGATCAAGAGGAGGTACTATTATAAGGAATCTGCCGAGAATCTCTGTGCCTGCCTGTGTTCCTCTGCCGTTCGTCGCCCTCCTTTCAGAGCTGTTTTGGGATCATCTGCTGCAGAGGACATAATGTTCCAACATATACTGTATATCTCTCTCCAACACTGGCTTACACACCTAAAAACACACGTATGCACAGCTGCTGCTTTGTTAAGAGTGACCTCTGTGACTTGCAGAGGAAAGCGCAGAGGTCATAAGAGAAATAATCAAATGACTGCTCTGGTTCATGGTGGTGTATCTTTCTTTTCTTCTTTTTTCTGCAGAGGATACATCCAGATTTAAGGTTTAATCTGCATCTTTTGTCTAAGTGGAGAGTCACCTATCCCCTGCAGAGAAGGGCACCATGACCCAGGAGGGGCAGGCTCTGCCCTCTCCCACCCCACCAGAGAACCTAGTAGAGCCCAGTACAAGCACCACCACTGACCCACCCAAAGAGACACATGACAAGACAGATGAGGACAAGGTGGATGCTCGGGCAAAGGATGAGACAGAGGAAGGAAAACAAGAAGAAGACGTCAGGGAAAGTGAGGAGGGGGAAACACAGAGAGAAGTAGAAGGGATGGTGGAAGTGGAAGGTGATAGAAGAGAAGGGGAGTTGAAAGAGGAGTGTGAAGATGGGGCCGGGGATGAGCATCAGCTGACAGAAGGAGAGGCGGAGGGGGAGAGGGAAGGGACGAAGGGGGGAGGATGTATAAATATGGAGGAAACCTTAACGGGGGAGGAGACAACACATGAGGCGGAGGAGATGAAAGAGGAAGAGGAGGGGAAGGAAAATGAAGAAATTCACCCATGCACAGAAGAGGAGGCAACTAATTCTCAACAAGCTGGCCGGTTAGTGAACAAAATTGTATTTGTACCACTTTACCTGTCAGAGCAAGAAAGTGTCATGTTGCCTGTTAATTTGCATTACTAAAAAGACAAACACAGCTTCCTTATATTTTTATAATAACCTAAGAGTGTCACTTTTGGTCAGTGAGACTGTGTCCATGTTTTTTGGGCTTTGTGATTTGAATATGTTTTATCTTAAATTGTTTTATCTCTGCGGTTCCCTTTGTACATAATTAGACTAATGTGCTTTACTCATATTTTACAAAAAAAATAGTCAGCCTCAACTAAATGAGCTGAAAAAATGGAAGAAAAATATTTAAAGAGCTAAGGGACCCAGCAACCATTTCCCAGCTCCCTAACTGTCCCAGAAAGACATTAGTGGAGGGCAGTCTGTAAAAAGCTCAACATGTGGAAGAAAAATGTGCCTGCTAATTAGCAGATTCATATATGACAAGCAAAAACTACTCAGAATGATAAAGACATACTGAAAGCAAAGTACATCTAACCTTTTTCTTTAAAAAAAAAAGGGATGAAATAGCGATGCTTTTGTATCGTATTGTAGTAAATAGCACAGTGTTTTTAGATGAACAAGATGACTGATCTTTTTTGCATATTTTTATCCATTTTCATGCGTGTAGGTCAGATGTTTTCTTTTCTTCCTGTTGATATAGATTGGCAAACGGTATAGCTGGGAATGACGATGAAGATGAAGTAGGTGAAGAGGACGAGGGGGGAGATGAGGGAGCGATACAAACACACTTGGACACTTTCAGCTCTAAATTTGAGACAACTGTAGAACAGGCTGACACCGAAGTGGAGGAGGAGGAGGAGGAGGAAGAGGTCCAAAAAGAAGGTGATGGCAGAGAAAACCAGGACAGTTTCAGCTCAGCTTTTGAACAGATTGTCGAGCAGGTCGATGTTCAGGATGAAGAGGAGGAAGACGAGAGAGAGTTGGAGGAGGAGAGGGAGAAAAGTAGGGTGGACAACAAAGATGGTTTCAGCTCCACATTTGAGCGCATCGTGGAGTCTGCCCTGCTCAGGGGTGGGACCTGCTACAGCAGCCTGGACTCTCTGGATGTTCTGTCACTCACAGATGAGACAGACAGCTGTGTTAGCTTTGAGGCGCCACTGACACCGCTCATCCAACAGAGGGCACTGTTACAAGGTCCTGAACCTCTGGAGCTTGAGTTGGCAACAGTTCAGGAGCAAGAAGGGGCTGAGATTGGAACAGATGCCCCAGGGCCTGAACTCGGGGCTGGGGACAGTGCTGGAGTAGGAGCAGTGGCTGGAGTAGGAGGAAGCCCGCTGAGGACCACCATACCTGGGAGCAGATCAGAGTTTGTGTTGAGCCAGCCTGGACGCTGGGCCATTCCTAATGGCTATCACACAGATTGCCAGGGAGACATGATTAACTCTGTCAGGTAAGTTTTACTTTAGTTCCACGTGTGGACTAAATAACATTATTATAAAGGGATGAATTTGGTTTAAAAAGTAAATATGACAATCCTGAGAAAATATGGTGTAATACATTAAAGAATTTATATAAAATGAGGATGTTTTTCCATGGTGGGTGGGTAATTTTACACATTCAATGTTAAACACAGTTTAATGAATATTTAAATGACTGATGACAGCTTCCAGGATATGTGGTTGTTGAAGCCTTGTGCAGATGTCTTACTCAAGTGTAATTAACTTAATGTGACCTTGGCTTAACCAGTAGGTGGCGTGAACAAGTGAAGCCCAGCTGTAGGTCCTTAGAGACGGGGACAGGGAGGGCTGGTTGGGGATGAAAGAGGTGGCCCGCCTCTTTCCACATATGCAAACTGAGACAGTTCTTTAAACAATAACCATAATGGAAGTAACAAATGTAGGCATACGTTACTCAGCTTAAAATGTTCATATTTTTGAAAAATAAAGGAACTGAGTCTTTCAGTGCTCATGACTGCACAGTTTTGTGCACTCCAGCAAAAATGTTGCATTCACACAACAGACTTAAGCCAAACTGAGCAAACAAAAAGTTGCAATACAAGGAAGCTTTAACATTTTGATGAAACCAGTGGGACTGTTAAAGCAGGACTGCTGCATTTGAAATTAGAGGAGCCTCTGGTATATGTATACAGAGTTTATTCACCAGAGCTGCAGACTGTGGCTCGACTATTTGCTCTCTCCAACCTCTTTTGCTTAAAGGATACAATAGAGAGAGATAACCTCAGTACTGTCAAATGAGAGGATTATGCATCATGACAGAAGACCTTTTGAACAGAAACTCATTTTTTAGGTGGAGTGTGGTGGTTTTTCTATGCGAGGGTTACACTACATAAGATCCATGGCAGCCTGTCAGCATAATGAATCACTTGTGTGAGCAGGACAACTCCAATTCACAAACTCGTTGGGCTTTTTGACAAAGAGAACTAGTTTCGTTCTTGATGAAGATTACATTTTTGACATTTTGACCAGTAACAGGTTGGGTTGGAACCTGATATATTGGTTCACTATGAAGGAAACAGATCATGGTAATAATGCTTATTTCTGCCTCTCTAATGTCACAGACATTAACTTGGTGGAGTTTTGGTATTGAAACTATGATATATTTTATGATATTGATGTTTAAAGTTGGTTATAGCGAAATACCATGCTGAACAAAAGCACATTTTTAGCCTTTAAACTGTGACACTTTGAGTGGGTGTAAAGTTGGTTCAGTTGCAGGTTTTATCAGAGCTTAGATGTGTGTGCCAAATTACCATCAACTCCGTGTACTTCATGGACCTGTAGCTATTATCATAATACACATATATAAAATCAAAGCTTTATTTATCCAAATAATTAATCATTAAGGAAAATATGCTTGATATAAACTGAATGTATACGAATCAAGTACATTTCTTTTGACCAGATTCCATTAAATGTAATTTTGTTACATGAAATGTAACAAAATTACAGAAATTTACATGTAACATTGTTACAGGAAGCCAGACCTGGAGGGATTGTGGGGACACGGTAACAGCTGACATGACTTTCTTACAATTAATTACCTTAATAGTAGTAAAATGGGTTGAAGGAGACAACGTAGAGCCACTGAAGGGAGAAGCAGTAACGCAAACCATATGGCGAAAACATGTAACTTGAACTTTGGCTATAGGTCTCCCTTGCTGGTGTGCACACAGTCCCTGTGGCGTGTTCATCAGCTCTTCCCCCTTGCACAGTTCCTGCAGTTAGAAACATACTGGAATGCCAAATAGATGCACAGACCTTTGACATTATCTGCTCAGCTAACTGCTGGGATTTGCTCAGACTCTGGTATGACTTACAGGATGAATGAAGGATTTTAGATGTCAGTTCTGCTCTTCTTTTCTCCTCTCCTTACCAGTCTACAGATGTTGTACTTTAGGCACAGTCTTGCTTCCTGACCACCAGCGCCAAGCTGAATGAGCTATTGTTTATGTCATGACATCATCGTCTTCAGCTTTCCTCGGCCCAGCAGGGTCTTAGAGTGAATGTGAGTGTGTATGTGTGTAAGTGGGTGATTATTGCTCCGTGCTAGCCAGCCTGCCAGACATTTGAGCACTTAAACCTAGAGTGGATACATCTGCTAGTCAGTCTTAAAGGGAAAGTTTAAGATTTAAAGATACTAACAGTATCCAATTATTTACTTCTTGATGTCCATTCAGATGCTGTTTTTCAGGCTATTAAAAAGGGAACCTTTAAAACTATTAGGAATTCCAAGTTCCAAATTCCAAATTCCAAGTGCAAGTTGGTCTTTTAATATTCTCTAGAAGGATTATGGATCATGTGATTCTGAACTCCTTCTACTGATAAATGAATTTCCTTGCCTTACATTTCTTCTCTCTCTGTGTCATTCAGTGTCGTTGAGACAGTGTCGTATTTCACTGTCTCACCTTCTGCCTCTCAATTCATTTCTCCACTTGATTCATGTTATCTCACTATATCACATCTTAGGTATAACACACACACATAGACACACATACACACATATCCTCCATTTCACCTACACTGCTCTCCTACCAGCATGTCTTATCTTTCATTCTTCTTGTCTGCCTACTTCCTTTTTTTCTGGTGGGTAGCTAGAGAATTGCCGTGGTTACACATTTTGGCACCTTGGGCGTCATGGACAACGGGCCTTTTTCACTGCGGGACTGAGCAGCTGCAGAGCATAGAATAAAAAATGAAAGTCAGTCAGTCAGTCAGTCAGTCAGCTTGGCAGACATTTTTTTTTTTTAATAATCACCTTTGCCCATTATTTTCACTGAGATTAAGAATTTTAGTCATAAGAAAAAAAATTGTTCTAAAATAATTGTAGCAGTTGAAACAACTTTGTTTCAACTGCTACTCATAGACTGTATAAGAAAATGGACATAGCCACAATGACATCACCTACTGATTAGCGAAGTCCCCTGTTGAAGCCTAATGCCAGGAAGATTGTCTGAGGCCTTCGTGGTGTTTTTAAAATTGGATGTCTTGAGTAAGGAGGGGAGGTGACTTAGAATCCGAGGGATAACACACACTCGTATGGTAGTAAATTGCTATTTATAATAAGCCCATACTAAAGCATATGCTACTTGGACCCTAATTTATAAAACTGAACATTTTTTTGTACTCAGTATGATGTAAAAGTAATGATTAGTCTTTTTGGCATCATAGATCAAGAGAACAGGAGAACTGTTTCCCCTGGGTGTCTATATCAGCGGTCCCCAACCTTTTTTGCGCCATGGACCAGTTTGTGTCCGACAATATTTTTACGGACTGGCCTTTAAGGTGCTGCAGATAAATACAACAAAATTAAACCAGAATCGGTACCAAACAAAAGAAGATTTATTCATAACACACGGGAAAAAACCCGGGGAAATCGAGTTAATGATAAAAACCATGAAAACCATAAATTTCACACAGGGTACTGGTCCGTGGCCCGGGGGTTGGGGACCACTGGTCTATATGATTTGCAAACGAAGAAGATGCCCCCTGCTGGCCATTAGAAAAAATGCAAGTTTAAGAAACTTGCGCGCTGGCTTCACTTTTCAGAGTTGTATTCTGCTCTGTATTTTCGTCTATGATGTTATTTCTATGTAATCGTGTTTATGGTGTTTTTGCATTGCATTTTTCAGGGTTGTGATTTTGGACGTCATACTTCTGCTATGTACAAAAATGTATGAAAAAAAATGGTCATGCTGTGCTATAACTGTCAGTGACAATGCTGACATTTTTTTCAGTTAGAGCCTCTGTTTTTCCTAAGTTTAGCAAGTTTAGCATGTACACTAATGTTAAAGGATAATACACCCTCTGTCAGTTCTTAGGTTTTACATATCAGGATATAATAAACAATTGGGTCTTAAAATTAGGTAAATACAACATCAGATGAACAACAACATATGGCATATTACACCATGTCATTATTTATTTAACAAAACTAAGACAGAATGCAGAACCATGAATTGTTAAGTTAAGTAGACCTCATGATTCAGTAGCTTATAGAAACTCTTAATAGCAATAACTTGCGGTAACTTGAGGATCATTGTCCAGTTACATGACCCAGTTTCAACCAAGCACAATGACTGCAAGGTGCCCAGGTCCTGTGGCTGCAAAAGAAGCCCAAATAATCACCCCTCCACCACCATGCTTGACACTTGGTAGCCCTTCCAAACAAACCACACTTGTTCAGTCTTTTTCTGATTGTGCTGTCAAAAACTCTAACATTTTACAGGCTAACTGAGGCCCATTTCTCTGAGCATTTCACAGTTTGACCTTGGGGTGAATTTGCTGGGACATCAACTTCTGAGAAGATTCGCAACTGCCTGGAATGATTTCTATGAATAATATGAGAAATAATATGAATAATATTTCTCATTCTAGAATGATGGTCTTAAATTGTTTGGAAATGGCCTTATAACCCTTCCCAGACTGGGTAGCAGCAGTTGCTCCTCTGAGAACATTGCTGATGTCTTTCCTCCTTGGCATTGTGTTAACATGCCCCTGAATGCTCCAGACCAGCAAACTGCAATAACATCTGCTTTGGTAGAGGCACTCACACTTTCTGATGATCAGTTTATCGAGTGTTTGATTACTAGTACATGGATGCTACTTACCATCCTAATTCCAATAGAGGCAATAAGTATATATTTTGTTTTTCATGCACTGCTTCTGCATTTTGGAATAAATTTGTTAAATAATTAATGACACAGCGTAATGTGTCATGTGGTGATGTTCATCTCAGATTGTATTTACCAAAGTAAAGTGTGTTTTATAAATGTAATAAGCAAAGACACACATTTTCTGCCAGTGCCACTGTTTTTTTTTACTTGTGTAAACCCCTGGGTGGTTACATTGTTTACAAGTAACAGATAAGAAGTAAGTTTCTTTTATGTTTTTCCAAATTTGTTGTTGCTTATACCCTACATCTTAATGAAAT